TGGGGGAAGGGGGGGGGGCATTGGATCAGGGCTGATGTGAGTTGAAGCGAGTTCGAGCGAGTGGGAGCCAGTAGAGAGAGCCTACAGAGAAGCAGAGTCTGAAGCTGATGCTGACGCTGACGCTGACGTTGATGCTGAGGCTGAAGTTGAAGCTGAAGCCGAAGCTGAGTCTCTTCTTTACTTGGCCAGCCGACGAGGAAACTTAGCTGGGCGGTGTGGAGGGGGAGCGAGCTGTGTTATAGGAGGGGGAACAGTTATGACCAGCCATCAAGGGGGCAGGCGTCGCTATGGTTACGGCGACGACAACAACCCACCGAGGGGATGTTTTTAAGGGTGATTTTTTTGGATCACCCTACTGGTACGAGGCGAACCATCGATTTTTTGAAAAAGTACCATCGATCGCGTTATACGCGAAAAAGTCGTAACTGCAAGAATTAGACAGGGTCTTTCGAGAAGGTTGTAAATTAAATTTACGTAAAAAGATTATTTCGAAATTTATATTTTCGGCGGGTGGTGCGATAATCTATTAGGTGGACTTTTTACTTTTTTTTTTTTTTTTTTTTTTTACGGTGGATATACCATACGTATCGATGATGTATATGCCTAGTCTCTCGGCACGAAAGGCACCTTCAATCACATAGCTGTTCGCAAATTATGGATACATCAGGGTCCATCTCTATTTTCTCGTGACATAGATGTGGATTTGCGAAACATGCGATCAAAAGGCTGATTATATTTTTTTCTCGAATATTTTCGACTTTTTATATATTTCTCTAAGGACAATGTCTATTTTTCCGAGCATTGAAATAATTATGAAACATCGTAATCCTACGAAAATACAGACGTACCCGAACTGCCAAACTCAAAAAAAATTCTGAAAACAATATAAAACACAAAAGACTCGTTAGTCACACTGCTAATAGTTTGTATCCCAATTGTGCATACATATACACGAGCATACGATCTATATCAGAACGTAAATATGATTAAAATGATCGTGCTATACAATTGACAAGTTGCTCCACTGTTCCTCGGTATCGTAGCTATTTTCTACTATTGACCGAGAGGTGTTGTAACATCCCCACTCTCTCTCTCTCTCTCTCTCTCTCTGCAGAACGAGACTCGTAGTATAGTAAACCCCGACGGCCCATTAATGCGAGTTATCGACACACGATCTGTCAATAGAGTTTCCATTCATAAATTCGCCCCGGCGCATAGTTTTACCGTGGAAAAGTTCACGTGGACTTGATTTATGTGCGGTCGCTGTTGTTTACCGCCGCCGTCTCCTCTGAAAGTCGCAGCGCATAGCGCGATATGCGGCACCAAGTCCAACAGCAGGAGCGACGGTAGTCGCGTAGAGTTTGCTGCTTATTGCTTCACGACTCCCCAGTACGCTAAACACAAATTTCTATATACGCCAATCGCGACCGTTCTTATCACGTGGAAAAACGAAACGGCGTCTCCTCTAGTTCGGCACCAATCACGTTTTTGTTTTTTCTCAAAAACATAGTACTCCGCGTTACTATCCGAGAGTTCGTAACGGCTCCGCAAGAAAGTTTAATGGAAACTGATTCCAGAATTGGCTGCTCCGCAGGAGTGCCGTAAGAAAAACATAGAGTACGACTGCACGGTACGGCTGACATAATTTAGCCGGTAAGTTACGAATTGGCAAGTTGTACCGTCTCTTGCGTGTTGTGACGGGGAAACACGTGGCGATCCGCCGTACTGGCCTCGTTGCGGCTCGCATTGTTTTGTTTGCCATTCTGAATCCGTCAGTGATTAAACCACTATCGAGGCACGATGCATCGCCTCCACACTCAGCCGGGAGGGATTACCGAGAGCGGGAGACTGTCGCGAGCGTGTGCCCACGGTATGTAGACATATCTATATAGGTATATCGGCCTCATTGGTTTGGTTAGTCTGTTGGCCACGATTACTACGTACTACGCGCGTCAATGGCCGTGAATATAAGAGCAATGCGGAAGGAAAAAGTACGACGGGGTCACGATTACCCGACGACCCTTGCGCCAGGGACGATCGATCTTAGCCAATAACGCCGATAGGCTTTTATCAAATTTCTGCAACGCGTGGAATATTTTTTATCAGTACTCTCAGCGTTCGATATTATTTTGACATAACCGCTCTGGGTCTCAGAGACGCGTGCCGGATGGTACGTTTACCGGTACGATTGATTTATTCGTTATCGATGGCGACCCTCTGTTCGACACCCAGCCATCGATCGGTGAGATTTTGCGGTAGGTTAAGGACTCCAAGACTTGACGGGACTTTCGAGCGATTCTTTATTACCGCTTACCGATCTAACTGGGTACACCTTATAAACGCAACCCTCTTGCATTCCACCGCCAAGCGCCGTACTCGTTATTGTCCGTTGACCGAAAAATTTCACGCCTACCGTTATACAGTGTCACAAAGGATCCGTGGGGCCTGGTCGTAAATGAAAGACGCCTGCTACAATAGGACCTGTCGCTCTTGCTCGCTGCCTTCCTTTTTTCCATCTGGGAACGTATATACGTATATATGGCCACCCTAAAAACAGGTGCCACTTTGGCGCCCCATCCCTGTATCTTACTCTGCTCCATCCCTAATACGTCTTTCACAGACTCGTTACGGGTCCGCATTTCCAACAGATTAATATCCTACTTGGGCGTTATCTCTTTATTTACAGTAATAATCCACATTATGTCAATGCTTTTAAAATCAGCTAAGTCGAGTGATCCCAAGGTGCAGTATAGCGCAGAAAGAAAGAGAGAGAGGAGCACGTGTTTTAACGTGTGACGCATCTCCCCTCCTACGGCACTTAACACACGTACCGATATAGGTGACTGTGAGTAACGACAGAAAACGTTAAGGAGAGAGAGAGAGAGAGGGGATAGGGTATATGTGCACGTGGCAAGGAATGGTATATAGTCTGGCCACTATTTCGCCTGACACAGGCAATCGTACGTTGCCCGTTCGCACAGGAGCGATATGCGGAAGAGAAGCGAACGAGACCAGCAGCAGCACACGATATCGGTGATGCTGTTAGTCGGAGACAGAAGCAACAGCTGACGATATCGATGCGAACGGGACCACCGCGGACGTTATATGCACTTCGCACAGTTTCGCGTGTCTGTATTCTGGCAGCGTATAAGGTACTGGCGATTATATATATATATATATAACGTTTCGCGATTCGATTCTCTGTAGGTTTGTACAAACGCGTGTACCGTAAGTACGTATAAACACACGTGGGCCTAGGTATATGCTCTCGTGGCTCTCGATTGCATCCTGGAGTGTGCGTGTTGCATTGTCGATGCACGTCCTCCTCCCCTCCGGTGCACTTCTCTGTAAGCATTCCCTTCCTCAGCCTCCCCGTTCATAGAGGGATGTGGATATATGACTACAACGCGCCCCCGCGCGCCCCCCCCCCCCCCC